GCGAGATATTCGGCGAGTCGCCGCATGAAGGGTGGGTGGGGGGGGGTGTGGGTGGGGTGTGTGTGTGTGTGTTTCGAAGGATCCGGAGAAGCGAGCAAGCGATTTAGCGCGTGTTGTGTCGGCTGTTGTTGTGTTTTAGGTGTGCGTCTTCCATGGCATACGCTTAACCATGCCCCACAAGGCAGCCATATAACACGCGTGACAACGGCCTGTTTCCGCTGCGTCTTGTTTCATTTTTTATTTATTTTGCCCCTAGAGAGAAGGAAGGATAAAAAAAACGGGCCGCCGGATTATCTTTGCGCTGACGTCAGCACTTTCTCCGTGCACAAACGCTCCTTCGAGTAGGCGACGACACAGGAAACCAACAAAGCAACAGCGGCAACGACGACGACGACGACGACACACAACAGGGGAAAGAAACAGGTGTATGGGGTAACGCGCTGCAGCCGAACCCGTCCCCGAGCAAAAATCGACAAAACAAAATGCACCTCTTGCTGCTGGTCTCTCGCCCTCTGCTGCAGCCCCGATCCCTCGGGTCTCGACTACATACATAGCGCCGTCTGTCAAGAGTATCCAGTGCGCCGCTGTCGCTGGCGCCTTGGGAACGTCTGCTGCGTTCAGGGGAGACAGGGTGGTTGCGTTGTCGCGCCGGTTCAAAGGAGAAATAGGCAGTGGAAGGAGACAGAAAGAGAGAGAGGGGGGGNGGGGGGGGGGGGGGGGGGGGGGGGGGGGGGGGGGGGGGGGGGCAGAGAGACAGAGAAAGAGAAGGAGAGACAGAGGGAGAGAGAGGGGGGAGGAGAGTAGAGAGAGAGGGGAAACAAACGACGATCGATCAGAACCCAAAAGAACCATACAAATTTATCAAGACCTTCCGGCCTTCCTCATTTCCCAAAACATGCACCAGAAATTGGGTGGTATGCTTACATAGCGGTGCCGAGAGGCTTCCCCCAGTCCCCCCCCAACCAATGGTCTACCCGCTACAAACGCATGCAAAAAATACTAGAACCCCCCCCCCGGTACGTCGTATAACGCGCACCTGTTTGCGCTGCCGCTGATGCACACGGAGCGAGGACGAGAGACACATGGTGGTCGAGTAGATCATGTTGTGCGGGGTGGAGAACCCTCACTCCGCGCAAGGGGGATGATCGCACCACGTTGTGTCAAAATGGTCAAGCACCCTCGAGGCAGCTACACAGTACTTACAACTGCCTCTGGAAGTGAAGCACCAGAAAATAAATTAAGTCATACGCAGCTGTCATTCGTACGCAAGGAAGTAAGCACAAGATGCCGAACACCCTTGGCACAATGCAGCGCACCCTTCGTGGGACTCGCCGAATACCTCATGGCGCTTCGCGCTTGGTGATGTGAGAGCCTGGTCCGGTGAGAACCCGGCGTG